TGTGTGTGTGTGTGTGTGTGTCGGGTTGTGTAAGATGTGCATGTAGCCAAAGTGAACATGAGCACGTAGCCCTCGTCGCAGCGGAACGCCCGACTGAGCAAATGCGGTGTGAGTGTGAGCACACTGCGGGGCGTGCAGAGCAGAAACAGCAGTGACACGGAGCCTGATGTGTGATGTGATTCCAGTGATGAAGACCGGAGAGAGCGGCCTCACCGTCTTCAGGCTGCTCACCAAGGACAACCGGTGGACGTGGGTCCAGGCCAACGCCCGGCTCGTCTACAAGAACGGAAAGCCGGACTACATCATCGCCACCCAGAGGCCTTTGGTGTAAGTGTGCAGTGACTCCAGTTTGATTCTTTTGAGATTTAATTCTTCTATCTGTTGATTTCTTCTCTGTAACTTCTCCTTCCGCAGGGATGAGGAAGGAGGGGAACACCTGAGGAAGCGATCTATGCACCTTCCTTTTACCTTCGCCACCGGAGAGGCGCTGCTCTACCAGACCGGTCATCCACTGCACGGCTTCCCTGATTCCTTCCAGGGCAAGGCCAAAGGCAGCAAGTCCAAGAAGGGCAAACTGGACAAGAGCTCTGCAGATGAGCTGGACCCAAAGTCCCTGCTGGGAGCTCTGATGAGCCAGGACGAGTCTGTGTACGTCTGCCAGCCCAGCACAGAGCCTAAAATGTCCTATCAGAGCAGCCTTGTTAGCGAGCAGCAAAGCGAGACTGATGGTTTCAGCGGTTTATTTGGTGGTGACGGCTGGCAAATTGTTTCTGACGTGGAGACAGGAAGATGCAACGGTAAAACACCCAGTTTTGACCCTCTGCTGGCCACCTTGGACTCCTTATCTCTCGACGGTGACGAGACGTGCTCCAACAGCGAGCTCTTCAGCGCTCTGGAGAACCTGGGCCTGAACGCCGAAGACCTCGAGCTCCTGCTGCTGGACGAGAGGATGATTCAGGTGGAGCTGGACCCCAACCACATCCCCTCCCTCAGCGACCTTCTCACCAACAATGAAATCCTCTCCTATATCCACGACTCCCTGGAGAGTGGCACAGAGGGAGGGGAACATGGTGGATTCGGACTTTCAGGCCATCCGCCGAACACAGACTCCGCTCCCCAAAGTGTCTCCCAGCAGGAGCGTTCCACACCTGCCGTCCCTGCAGCTCCTCCCGGCAGCAGGCCGCCCATCGTCCAGCTCTCACAACAGATGCAGCAGCACGTCCGTGCAGGTGAGCTGGAGAAAGGTCAGCTGGGACAGATCCAGCCTGAAGCTGTGGACACCAACATTTTACCCAACGGTCACTGGATGGTCACCACAGAGAACCTCCATCACCCCAACAACCACACCCATCACCACCCACATACTGTGCTCAAAGCCTCACAGTTGAGCAGTGATCATAAACACCTTCAGTCACTTCTGGGGTTGAGTCAGTGGCAGCTCCAACAAGACCAGTACTCAGAGCACCTCCAGTCCCACCAGCAGGAACACAGCCAGGGCGCTTTGTTACCTGGTCTCCACAACCAGCTCGCACTGACCACGAGCAGATCTCACATCTCAAACGGACACGCGGCCTTCCCGCCAGACGGGGAGGTCGAGCACACGGGCTACGGCATCTCCAACACGCCGTATAACGTCGGCACCGTACTGAGCGGCGTGATCACGCAGGATGTTTGGCCCCACCAGCTGCAGGCTCACCAGAAACACCAGCAGACGATGCAGCAGACTCAGGTTCCTCCATCGTGTTTGTCCCAGTGTCCCAGTCAGAGCTCTCTGGACCTAGAGCAGCTCCTGGGTCTGTCCCAGCCGCAGCACAGCCTGCCGTCTCTGGAGGCCTACAGCATGTTCAGCACCGGTGCAGAGGATCACGGCAAGGTGAGAGAACATGTCTGTGATTCCCTCTGGCAGTCACAGGTAATATTTTAATCTATAGTGAAGATTTTCTTTCATTCAATTTCAAGATGCATGTGAACCACACTGCATCCTCCAAAAGTTTCATGAAACTAAGAGTTTACTTGACTTCCCCTTGTAAAATACCAGCCCCGTGAATTCAGGGAGTAACTGTGATCCTGGAACTGAATCCCACCTCCATCCTCTGTCTCATGTCGGGGCCTGTTCCGTCCTCTTTTCTTTCTTTCCATCTCAAAACAACCGAAGCTGCCAGCTCCACTCAGAACTGTTTGGTCTGGGAGTCAGAGCCTTTGATTCTCTCCCAGTGGCGAGGCCTTAAGTTTGTGTTGCTCTCAAATATCATCGAACATCAACAAACCGAGTGCCGCAGAATCCACAACCCTGACCCTTCAACCCCCCGCGCTGTTCTCTTTCACTGTCATGAAAATAGATTATTTTTTCCGAGTCAGCACACAGAGGCCCAGGGCTGGCATGGAGCTCAGTGTGAACTGTGATGATGCGAGCGGACACGCCATGTAAATAAGATAAGAGGAAGGAGGGTCAGAGCGACGCAGTCTGAGGGGAGAGTCGACTGGAAGCTAATGCAGGAGAGTCGGAATCTTTGCTGTGGTTTTATTCCTCTTTTTTATTTCTGCTGCATGTTTATGTAATCATCGGTGTTCAACCTTTACTATAATACTTCAAATTTCAGTGTATTCTCCAGTACAACTCCAGAGAGAAAAGAGGCATCGCACGTTCTTACATGTGCAAAGTGCAGAGCTGAAACGTTTACGCAATGAATCGATCACTTGCAGCTTGTTTTAAAATCAATTAATCGTGTTACGGTGGCATGAAAATGTTGAGGTATCTCTAAAACGTTTCCCCTACGATTGAACAGTTCTTCTTCTTTCTTGATTACATGAGGCATCGTTCATTTCGGCAGACATCCTGTTCATAATTATTTAGTTTGAAAGGTTTGTGAGACAAAATGGACGAATTACTACAGAAAATCTGCCACGTTGCATATTTACAACAAAATCTAGATTATGATGAGTCCCACTCTCCGACCTTAAACCCATTTCTTCTGTGTTACTGAACTCAGCGACAACACAGGAGATATAATCATCATGAGAGCGTGGGCCAGAGAGAGGACAGAAGAGCAAAGCGGCAGTGGTGAGAAGAGTACACTAATGAATAGAATAAGGTCGGGACGGGCCCAAGAGATGGCCGACCCCGGCAGGCATCCATTCATCCCCGCCCCATTCAGCATCCACTGTTATTCTTCAGGGTCAGTGACTGTCGCTGAAAGAAAAATACTGGCAGACTGGGCAGTCAAGCATGAGCGGTGCTGACCTACAATTTGACTGTCATCATCACCTAATGCTGTGAACGCAGGACGGGGAGGGAGGCGAGCGGTGCAGCGAGAGAACCGGAGTTTGATTCACTTTTATTTTAGCGTCTGCACTCCGGAATAAAACTGCACAGTGTCGTCGGGCAGGAATTTCTCTCCAAAGACCGATCGTACGATTTAAAAGATGATGATTGAAATGAGGCCGTGACCTCAGAGATCAATATAGTTGGAGAGCGGCGAGGTGACGTGGTTTGAGTCAGTGATGCCGCGAGGAAAAGAGACGAGAGCAGAAACACTGACACTGTAAACAGGACTAATTACTCACCGACACTCAGTACGATTAATGCCAACCAGGGAACTGTAACAGCGTGCTATGCTAATCCTAAATGCTAATCTAAAGTGCACAATGCCTGCAGACATTTCAGATGAGTGCTCGACTGTCGTGGGCGCAGACGTTCCAGGTTCGTGGGGAAATAAAAGCTCGTAATTTAAAGGAAATGAAGATTTTAAACATGTAATTTAATGAGAAGGATATTATTGGATATGTTAATTTAAATATGGTTAGAGTTGAGGATGTCAGTCACTTTTATGTACGACTAATGAATATACAGGATGTGTTGTTGTGCAGCTGAACGACTGCAGCGTTAACTATCTGCCAAATGACCTAATCTGTTTAGACTGAGTGGAGGGGATTACAGTCACTGTGATGTAAGTCCACTCAACAGCTGCACACTGTTGGATACTCCTCCCTCCTCCTCCTCCTCCTCCTCCTCCTCCTCCTCCTCCTCCTACTCCTATTCTGTCAGTCTCCTGGTCCGTGTCTCTTTGCACCTCCCCTTCATCCTTCCTCCTCTTCCTCCTGTCACGGGGTCTCTCAGGACGGGGGGGGGGGGGGGGGGGTCTGTCTGATGCGACCTCCATCGTGTGATTGAGGTCAACGTAGTTACACAAATACAACGAGCTCTGTCTCTTTCATTTCACAATCAGTATAATTGTTTAAAATCCTATCGGAGGCCTTTCCTCTAATCGTGTTGTTTTTGTTTTTCAGCTGGAGAACGGCTGCCTCCTCAGTGCCACCAACGCGGCGTACATCAAGACGTGTCTGATGCCCAATGGAAACGGAGTGGCGACGGACGACATCTCTGTCTCGTGCCCCGAGGGCCTCGCTGCTCTACAGGACCCACAGAAATCTGGATTCTTGCTCTGAAAAAGAGGAGGCGAGAAAAGAAGGTAGAGAAGGAAAACTCAAGCTGCACTCAGAGAACCGAGCTCTCGCAGATAACCTAACGACGGTTATAACGGGGGAAAGACAAATCAAGCTTTTTACTCGAGTTGTGCGCTCACTGAAAGTTTTGTGTCCATGTTTCAGGTTTGTGTTCTTTTATCAAATCACCTGAACATCAACCAAAACTCATCCATACACTGTGACGACAGAAGCGGTTCGTTTGTCTCACGTTGATCTAATAACCTGATGACGAGCAGTTTTAGTGCCATTTAATAAGTTTCAACACTGGACTGTGAAGCTAAACCGGGCCTCACGTTCGTAATGTGCACTCTTCACACTGCTGACCTAAAGCGTTCTGAACCTTGAATCATTTTCTACTCTGCAAGTATCTGTGGCTTTTGTTAGCAAGTTCCAAACTCTTCATTTCTGTCCATCGACTGAAACCAGTGGTTTTAAATTTAAGGTTAATAAAAAAAAAAAATATATATATATATAGTATGCTTTTAAAAATTGTTGCAGTGGCCGAATGATGCAAAACCACATAAGTGGAGATTTAAACGTTAACAGGAGTGAGCATTTGAATCTGTGTGTGAGTGTTAGAACATGCTGCTTTCATTAGAGTATTTACTGCTCAACACGTCTGCTGGTAATCTGGTTCTGCTAATGCAGGAATGTGAACGCTTCGTCTCGTAATCCTGCTCCGTGCGTAAAGTGGAGACAGCAGTGAGATTCGAACACACCGACAGATTATTCAAACTTCAGTGATCGCTCGTCACCTAGATGTAGATGTTTGGCTTCGTAGATGTTGTTCGTCCTGGTGCTTTACGTGTCGACAAAACAGCATTTCATTCGTCGTGGTTTGTATTGTTGAGATGAGATTTAAGCTAATTATAAAAAGGTTGAAACCAGAAGCAGTTTAAAGTTGTTTCTCTATCACAACATTTGTCCTAATGCTGCATTTTAGCCTGTTTGAGGTTTACAGTGATGTTGTGCACTTACATGTATTTTACAGACGTAATCAGAGAGGATCTGATTCGTCCGTCAGTGGCACTGGAATCAAACAAAAAAGCATTTTTGTTTCCCGACCGGAGACAGTGTGAGAATCTCCCATTAATGCCTTGTCTGGGCGGCTGCGGCCAGTCAGACTCCCGCTTACTTTTATCCTGCAGTCATGTCATGTGGGAAACACTGAGTGCACTTACATGCACACAGTAATCCATTAAGGACCTAAGTGTAAATAATAGATCACAACTGAAGGTGAAGGAGGAGGTGCATGGACGTATTTTTCTCAAGATTTGATTTCTGTAATCACTAAATTGTTATTATTAGTAATATTATTATTCCATGATTGAGAGAATATCTGCACTCAAATGTAGGAAGATTCATTTGAACTATTATTATTTTCATATCTGGCCGGAAACAGACAGAAACTCTGAACTCTGAGGTAAAGTTGTTTTCTGTCGGTTCGGATGCAGACGAGACATTTCAGCTTTTGTTCAATCCACCGTTTCAATCGTAGAAGACAGAAAACAGGGACAGACACTTCCACACATCTGTCTCACGCAGTTCAGTGTCTCATTGTCAAACAAACTAACTCACCAGGCGATTTGTCTCAACTTGAGAAATCTGAACAACACAACAAAACCTGCAATGAAAAGAATCATCACCTGGACCCACGGCCGTCAGTGGGACATGAAAACTCACGTTGCGTTCATGTCATGTCAGATTTAATGGAAATGATAGTTGCAGTTTCTTATTGGGAATTACTATCGAATAATTTTGAATTCACAACGTCCAGTTGTGTGAAGTCGTTCACAAAACATCTCACTCAACTCTAGCGTCATCGTGCAGGAGGAAAGTTGAATTAAAACTTAAACCAATGAAACCCAATTAAAAAATGAGTTGTATATATTCTGATGTTTTACTCGATGAATATTCTCACGTCTGATATGACATGAATGTAGTTTCACTCACATCGAAAGGTCTTTAAGAGAAGGAGCTTCCCCCACAGAAGCCGGAGTGTTGAGGACGGACCGGACAGCATTTAACACCGACTCAGAAACCAAATGAGAAACATGCAAACACGCGTGTGTCTGCAGTTGCTCCATCGTTGAATGTCTTGGGTTAAAACTGTAAAGATGTTTAAAACATGAAGCTTTTATTTCACTACAAAAGAAATCATCATTCAAAGGTGTTCTGTCGATATTGACGGCGTCAGCTGATCGTCTCTTCGACAAAACGCCTTCACGGATTTGCCTCTTGTCCGTTTTCCTTTTTCAGTTTTTTTTTTTTTTTTTT